AGATTCATAAATACTGGTACCTCAGACAGTTTGCCCATTCCTATTGGTCTTGAACCCGTCACGTGGGTGGTTTTAAACCATTGATAAAATACCAACTGGTTTTAAACACTTTTTTCCGGCACTGCTGCGTTCTGCGCCACATCCTGCAGTAAGGGCCACAAGCGTGCAAATCTCCATATAAGGAGAATTTTAGTACTACTCGCGCGAGGCATGTACCATAAACATAGCTAGAGTGTTTCGCAAAACATGAAGTAGAATTGTTCAGTCAAATCGTTGGAAATTTATAATAATTTGCTTGTTTTGACTTTTTGACAGAAAGATATTAATGAATGGGAATAAATACAAGTACATGTGATTGGCCGATATTACACAAAAATGTACATTTGAAACTTGCTAGGGGGCCTGCTCCCCGATAATGACTCTTGCATTAGTTTCATATGAATATGTATGCTTACTCGGAGGATTATTTTGATGACGCGATCAGCATTGATGCCTTCATGATCAGCAAGAAATTTATTTCATTCAAACGAAAAGTTGACAGTGTAAGAAAAACACTTTGACATGCGTGGCCAGTTTGACTCAACACCAACGTTTCATATGCCAAGTTATAAAATCCATGTTGAAGTATGAAATGTTCATTTCTGGTCGCACAAAACATCAAGGAATTCTTCTCTTTTGTACAATCTTGTAAAGTCTCCTTAGCATTCAGTTCACTCCAGAAAAAAAAGTAAAAACCTAGAACCCTGTTACCTAATGACTGAGTCACATTGCAAATTGAAGTCAATTTTTGAACCGCAACAAACGCATAATGACATTGACGCATCGGGTCATATCGCCAACGATTACGTTCGTCTTCCCACGGTTTGGCCCGGGCAACCATCCGTAAATTCTGATTCGATGCAATGGGATTATCGTTTCAGCCTCAGTTGCTTTAATCCAGTTTACTAGAAAGACCTCAGCCCAGAATTCCTAATCACATTTACACTTTATAAAATTGCTCTTTTGCCCACCCCCATTGTTAACATAGACTGACCCTGGGGGGAATTCATGTTTCAGGTTAAAGGGCTCATGAGATGAATTTTTCGAGGGAACATGTATCAGCATTTTGTGCAACTTAAACTACTTCTCCTAAAATGCATGAAAACTATTTGACATCACTTTTTGGTTAATTTTATTGAAATGGAAAAGTGTACTTCTTTCAACGTTTCAAATTGTCCATGCTTTTCCTGACAAATGAGGGCGCTGTTGATGTGATGTCATTTCAGGAAGACGCTGTTAAGTTTATGGGTTTTCTGTTCCAATTGTGAACCCAAAATTTGCTCATTGAATTCTCGAGAAAACTTTGTTCATTGGCTTATTATGTCCTGAAACATGTACATATGCTGAAACAACGAATCACCAAAGAAAAGAAAATGTACTTCTCCAAAATATCCGAAATTCTGGCAAGTTGTGGGGCTGAAATACATTTTGTAGCTGTAACAGTGAGCTTTCTGCCCGAAATGACATCACACATTTGCTCCTGAAAAACCGAAAAGGCACCAAAATGGCCTTAAAAATGGCAAAAAGTGTTCATTGAAAATTAGGCTAAATTGGACACAAAGGTGCATTTTCAAAGACTGCATAAAAAAAAATATATTACATGGGCCCTTTAAAGAGAGAAATTGCAATAAATCAACTTTGCTGGTATTTTTTCCTTTTTTAGGGGGGGGGGGGTTACCATATATATACTTAGGAAAATGAAATTCTGAAGCTTGATGATGCCGCTCATGTGAGTTTACTAATATAACACAACATTTCCGCTCCACAAAATTTCGGCGGTTCAGTTACATGTAACTAAGTCAGGTTCAACCCATTATTGCACGTTAGCCATACATGTACGTGTGTATGTATCTGAATTACTGGGCTATTCACATTGATGTCTATGGTAACTGGCTACAGCCTCTGCAGTAGATACGTACATGTACATGTACATGTACGTGTACATGTATATAACCACAAGCCACAGCCAAGTAATTCGGACACGGCCTCACTAAGGAAATTTTTCCAGGCTGGCTCTGTTAAAGGCAATACATGCCTACAGCATTTGGAAACATCAAAAAACCAAACTACCAAATTATTATGCAATCCCGTACTTATGTAAACTTGAATAATACAAATATGTATAGTCTCAAGTTTCTTGTAAAATCATGGCACCCAGTATGCTGTCATTTTCAAGAAAAGTTAAATTCTTGTATCAATTTCCAACGATGGTCTGCCGGCAATCTTTGGAAAATACAATGTAAACTGACTTTTTTTTCTTCAAATACTGCCCCCAATTTTCCAAATTAGTTAGAGCCACATTTTGTTTGCAATCGGTTACACATCCATGAACGCATGCAAGCCAGCTTGTCTGGTTCTCAGACCTGACAATTTCCCGACATCTATAAATTGTTCCATTTCGTCTGAAGTACCGGTAGGGTCAGGGAACCAGACTACAAGAACGGAAATATTCTTTTCTTGGTTTTTCCAGCATCTATGAACACAAAACTTAACAAGTCAGTGTAAAATCCATCCATTTCTGCAAATTACAGCAAAAGCGAATGCTAAATATAACCTACTGCATAAATTATTAAGGACAAATTGGAGTACAGGTAAAAGCTTTTATATTTAGAATACCCCCATGGGATATAAGCCTTAGCAACCACTATGCCAAACACAATGCCTACCTGTGCTATTTTACTGCCCTATATTAATCTGTTTTCAAGACTTTTTATGGTCGGTTCCTATGACAGTGGTCTTTGTTCCATTTTGCGGTCCCTAATGCGGGCCGGATTAAGAATTTCCTGCCAGTCAAGGGAAGGAAGATTGGGAAGTTTTTTGTCTGAAAGGAATTCATTGTATTTGGGTGGGAAAAAATGAAATGATTTATGTTGTTCGTGTTGTGTTTCTCATATTGATGAGAAACACTTAAAACAAATTTTGGTTGATGGACTGGGACAATAGTTCAGTGATAAGCGTGTACTATAAAAAATGTACATGTACACATGTACGGTACAGTGTATGTGTTCAAAATTCTTTTATCAAAACCTTTCTGTAATGTACAGCTAGTACAGTGAAATCTTGATTTGAGTCAAATCTCAAGGAAAAGTTTGAGTTACGCAAAGTTCCCAATTTTCCCCAAATGTCCCCAAATTATGCATGGGTACATACATGAATGGCTTTCATAGTAGGTAACTTGCTATGCCTGACTCCTTATTTGGCTCACTCTTCTTTCTACTGATTTTAATGGTGAATTTTTTTCAATCACAAATCATCATTTTGCTGAGATTATATATATTTTTTTTCTTACCTAAAAGTGTCCGTTGTAATGATAAATCTTAAAAAAAAGGATTTCAGTTTCTTCTTTGGCCCAATTACAGAAGTTTATTTCTGCACCTGGTGATTTTGAGTTCGACTTTAAAACCGAGCTTCCTGTCTGTTTTCTAGTTAAACGGTTTTGACTAATTATCGAGATTTCACTGTATGTATCTGATGGCAGCATTTTTTAGTGCAATGCCTGTCAAACTACAGATGTCCATGTCCATATCCATGTACAGTACATGTACATGTACCTGTACATGCACATGTGGTACGTGCATCGTTAAAGTTTAACAAGAGTAAATTGGGTTTTTTTAAACTAAAGTACCGGTATGTGTACTGGTAGATTGCCTATTAAAAAATGATGAGAATTTATATTGTATAAATTTACACAAGCAGTTACAGGTTGATGCTCATTTAATAAAGTTTCACAGTTTTTTATTATATTTTGTCAGAGACACCTTTAATTCCTAACTTGGGTATGATGATAGTTAATTTTAGGTTCTTCAATCAAGAATAATTTCCATCCACTTGAATATTATGTACATGTACCAGCAGCATTTTCATTCATAACAAAATTGTAGGATTTTGCGGCAGTTTCACACCACACGTGTGTAAAATTACACCGCTGGCCATCTGTTGATGGCTTTCGCTTCCAATAATGACCGTCACCGACTCATTAACCGCTGGAAAAATTGTCTTGATTGTTGTAGCACATGTGAACTCATCATAGCTTTTCCTTATTTGCTGGCATATGTTTTCAGTAAATTTAAAGAAGCATTCTGAGAGAATATGCCCATTTTGGCTCCAAAACATATTTTACTGATTTCCTCGGTTTTTTTTTACTTCTCATGAAAGCCATCACAAATTGAAAAATACTGTACAAATAATTTGGAGTTCCTTGTTTTGTTTGTTTAATTCCCAGTTACATGTAATGATTTTTTGGCGTTTAAAAGTAGCATTTTAACGTTCACACACTTACCGGTATACCTGAGCCGTGCAATGTAATTTGTTTAATGCAATCCTTGGAAATGTGTCCCGTTTAACCTTATTTTCAATTTTCTGTTTTGCTATTTTCAATGGTATTTTTATGCCTTTTTGGTTTTTATTGCTACCGTGAATTTCCATATACACGAGTAAAAGTGTATTGTCATTTCAGGCATAAACCTCAATTTACAGTTATTTCATCACCAAAAGTTGCCAGAATTTTGGATATTTTACTGTCGTCAATTTTGTTTTAAATTTTCCGTGGTGATTCTTTGTTGTGTCAGTACATGGCAGTAGGCCAATGAGCAAACTTTTTTTCACAGATGTTTTGAAAGAGCAAATATTTGGGTTCACAATTTGAACAAAAAACCCCTAAACTGAACAGTGTAAGTTCCTGAAATGGCATCACAGCAACAGCGCCCTCAGTTGTCCGGAAAAGCATGGGACAGTTTAAATGTGTAAAGAAGTGGACTTTTCAATCAAATTAACCAAAAAGGAATGTCAAATAGTGTTTATACTTTTTAAGAGGAGCAGAAAGTTGCACAAAATATATTCCTTAGAAAAATTCATTTCAAAATCCTCTTTACATAAAAAAAGGCTCCAGTACAATATAAGTGTTTGAAACTTTGATGCAATCAATCATTATTTTCTCTTTCGTTTGTTTTTCTTTTCTGCAGTCTTCCAATGAACCCCTGACGCCATATTTTGGAACATCACCTTCCCGAACTCTACCAAACTTCTGGCAAGTTGTTGCAGAGAGAATCACGCGCCACCTTGACGACCCGTGTTGAAATGTGGACGAAGGAAAACACTACGTACATGTACGTCTTAACGATCCGTGCTTCGAGACATTTCACCGCGAGGTCGTTTTAAACATTGGCTGTTTTATGTGCAAGTAGTATGTGTGCAAGTACATTGGGGAACTTTTTTAGTCTCTGTGAGTTTATTGTGACAAAAAACAAACTATGCAATCAGAAAATGGACACCCATGTCAAAATGTATTTGAAAATAAACTGGCATCCGGCAAGTCTGTATTATAGAAGATATATGAATCTACATGTACCCATCTACTTGGATGATGGAGTGATTACAAAAACAAGAACGATGTTCAGAGCTGAAGAGGGATTCGTGAATGAAGATTTTGGATAACGTGTATCTCGCTACTTCACCATGTTGAAAGCTTGCGGAAAGACAAAAGCCGTGCCGGTTAGAAAGCGTCAAACATCTTGAATTGTTCTGTGCACCGTCTGCTGTACATCTAAAAGCCCATTCTCCGAGTCGGTTTTGATTTGAGAAAAACTGGTAACATGTCCCACGGACTATATTTCTAAAAGGCGTATCTACAATTAGATGCTTTGGATTTGGAATATTAGAACACAAAGTGGTCATTGAAATGGATACGCGGTGGAATTCACAATCACAGAAAATGAACCCAAAATGGCGTGATAAACGCAAAGAAAATGCAGAGTAAATCTAAGCGTGGCTTGGAATCGATCCAGTGCAGGACTAAGCCACGGCAATCGGGCATAACAGGCCCCGAATCAGGACAAGCGGGATTAATTCTTCAGATTTCTGTCTCCGACTCGGACCGTCGGCTTGAGCTATTGGACCGTCCCGGTCTGCAGGAGGGAAAAATCAATTCCACCGGAAGCTTTCCGCCAATATTTGAGAGACTTTTTATTCGGCCTCTAGAATTCATCAAGCGTGCATCAGGTGGCCGTCGTGAAGACAGACAACAGTGTGGCGTCAAGTCTTCTTCAAGATTGGGGGGGGGGGCCGCGGAGAAGAGGAAATAGTCATCGCAGAGGAGTAACCGCGGTAGTATTGCGGATTACCAGGAGAAAAAAAAAATAACATGGAATGTGTGGAGTGATAACATAAACATGCGATTGCCGACCATGGGTTACCGGTAGAAATATTGGAATGGGAATTAGCTTGTTTGTATGCAAATATTGAGGGAATTTGGATGGAAGTTTTTATTGGGTTTTGAGGCCATGGTGGTTTTTTTTCCTGAGAGAAAAAAAGAAAAATTGACCACCACTTTCAATTTACGAAGCTACCAAACAGAATGGTGCTCTTATTTTTATTGATAACCAATTTTTTTTGTTCAAAGTGTTTGTATTATCCTGTCGGTTCATGATGATGATTGACAGCCGAATCTGACAGCTATTTTGAAGTTAAAAAAAAAAAAATATTGGCCAAATTGTTTTTGTTATAAATTTGACCTTTCTACCAACTTGTGGTGGAAAACACGTACCGGTAGAATACATTTTGATGACCCGTTTCACCCATTTATATAGAAAACTTGATTGCTGATGTATGCTCTTGGAACATCTATTAACCCTGACCTTCCCAAATCCTCCAAAATCCTCTATGCAAAATGGAGGATTTTATAGGATTGAGGCTCAATGGCAAAAGTGTGTGGCCGATTTTGGAGGATGCACTTTGTCAAGGTCTTGGGCCGGACCTTGTGTTGTTTATGCTCAGCCCTGCATAAGTTTAGGCCTATACATGTACATTATACTTGAAATCCTCCGCACTGCTCCAGGATGTCACTGGCTCTGTCTCAACATATTGACAGTGATTGAAGTTGAAGAAGAAAAAAAATATTGGCCAAATTGTTTTTGTTATAAATTTGACCTTTCTACCAACTTGTGGTGGAAAACACGTAAAATACATTTTGATGACCCATTTCACCCATTTATATAGAAAACTTGATTGCTGATGTATGCTCTTGGAACATCTATTAACCCTGACCTTCCCAAATCCTCCAAAATCCTCTTTGCAAAATGGAGGATTTTGCAGGATTGAAGCTACATGTATATGGCAAAATGCGTGGCTGATTTTGAAGGATGCACTGTGTCAAGGTCTTGGGCCGGACTCTGTGTTGTTTATGCTCAGCCATGCATACATTTAGGCGTACATTATACTTGAAGTCCTCTGCACTGCTCCAGGATGTCACTGGCTCTGCCTCAACATATTGACAGTGATTGCTGGAGGATTTGGCAGGATTGAGGCAGTAGTCACCCCTCCAAGGACCACATTCAAGAAAGAACGGAGGATTTTGCATGAGGTTGCATCCTAGCAAAAATGCCTAGGGAGTTAGGGTTAACAGTGTTTCAAACCTTTTGAATTTCTTAATTTATCAGTCCAGACCATTTACATAAAATAATTATAATATGAACGCTAATGTTCAGCGTGAGAACCGTGGCTGCAGGTTTGATAAAGCTAAGTTTATTTGTCCAAACAATTCTTTATCATGATTGCAAACAAAATACCTTTATCATGCTTGCACCATTTTAGTCATGTTCCCTGTATCCAATAACAGCACTAAATGATAATGTTTTTTGTGCAAAAAGGAACCAGACTATTTTTCCTTCCAGCCTCGCTTTGGTTACATTGATCTGAATGGGAAAAAAAATCAAATGGCTTCAACATGATAATGGTCTATAGCTGAAGAGTTATAATAGGACCGTATGCCCATAAATACGTACGTAAATGCCATAGCTCTATGGTACATGTAATTATGTTCACCACGAGTCCGACCAGAAGTTGAGAAATCCCTGTTGTCCAAGGGAGGAAATGCCCCATAGAGTCGGTGAGGCCTGGCTCCTGCCTGATAATCAGCTTGCATTTCCTTCTGAAATTCCCTCGTGAAATTCTTCCTCCGGAAACTTTGTTTACATCAATATGCATGTAGTTTAACTTGCCAAGTTCGGATCAGCAGCAAGGCATGATTGAGTACCAGTTCCCCACACTGGGTGGATCGGGTTTTGTTGGAGGGGGGGGGAGCTTTGCGGTAGATTGGTTATGACATATTTGGCTCAAGTGGACACATTTCTCTTGCGTTTCTTCAGACTTTCTCAACTACTGGACGTTTTTTTACCACAACCATTACCATTGTCTGGCGTAAATGTTGGCATGAAAAGAAATCCGTCACTTCTCAAGTTTCTACTCCTCCCTCTTTAAGCCCCAAGCCAACCCAACCCCCGTTCAAATCTTCAGTTAAACTGCACTCCAAAAAATAAAATTAAAAATTCCTAACAATACAAAAAAATACTCTGTCCACACATTGTTTTGAAAATATATTTACAAATTGTGAATAACTTTTTTTTTAAAGAAGGTTGCGGACATCCAAAATTGAAAAGCATTAAAATATAAAAAGGTCACATAAATTATTGCATACATTTCAATTTAGGTGAACATGTGTGATGACTGCAGCGGTTCAGTGCATTCAGCATTGAATTCATATGTGTACGTCTGTATGACTGATGTAAAAAAGTTATTACACATTTTTTCTACTACATTGTACTTTCATGGCCAGTTAAATGTCAAGGGTTAATTGTCAAGTAAAAGCAGGTTACCAGCCAAAAATTGTCAAGTAGAAGCAGCAAGGTAACCAGCCAAAAAAGTCAATTTAAAAGCAGATTACCAGCCAAAAAAAAAAGTCTGAGAAAATTTAGATAACCAGCCAAAAATTGTCAAGTCACAGCAGGTAACCAGCCAAAAATTGTCAAATAAAAGCAGGTTACCAGCCAAAAATTGTAGAAGCAGCTAGGTAACCAGCCTAACAAGTCAATTAAAAGCAGATTACCAGCCAAAAAAAAAAGTCTTAGTAAAATCAGATAACCAGCTAAAAATTGTCAAGTCACAGCAGGTAACCAGCCAAAAATTGTCAAATAAAAGCAGGTTACCAGCCAAAAATTGTAGAAGCAGCTAGGTGACCAGCCAAACAAGTCAATTAAAAGCAGATTACCAGCCAAAAAAAAAGTCTGAGTAAAATCAGATAACCAGCCAAAAATTGTCCAGTCACAGCAGGTAACCAGCCAAAAATTGTCAAATAAAAGCAGGTTACCAGCCAAAAATTGTCAAGTATAAAAGGCAGGTTGCCAGCCAAGTTGTTTGGTCTTTTGTATCACAAGTGGGCCATTCTCTGTTGAATTTTTGCTGCGCACATAAATTAAGTTTTGTCCAAATGTCATTGTCTGCGTACCATACATGTGGCTCTGTGAAAGCCCTTGCACAATTACTCTGCTGTACATGGATATTTTTTTTATAACTTCCCCAAAAGGCTTCAAACCAACGTCGCCATCTTGGTCTACTTCCACAATGCATGATGAACTCATAAATGTACACCCAGCATATCATGTGCACCAGACTACTGTACTATAACCATGGGCTACATGCGTGTCCTCGATTTCAAGCTTGCAATATTTCATTAGTTGGCGAGAAATGTTCGCTTATTCGCAAGCCCATCATCTGTAACTGAGAATTATGTGCTTACAGGGTTTGATAGATGCAAAATAAGCAAAACTTGTAAGCACATAATGGTGATCCTTAGCACATAATCCCTTGGTTAGTAGAGGCACGAAATCGGTCATGTACATGTAGTACATGTATATTTACATGTAGGCAAAATGAGGAAGACGGAAATCAAAAAAGATTTGGAGCCTTTAGTTTGTTTGAATGGTCATTATTTAAATATAGGGCGGTCAGTATAAAGGGGAAAAAATGCAATATCTACAAAATGGAGGCTTGATATAATAAGTATTACAAAACAAATGTAAATTTTTGTCAACGTTTGTGTGTTCATAAGTATATATCTGTAAAGGTTTTAGGTAAAAGAGGGAATTCCATTTTCAAGCTTTGGGATCGTTCGCTTTTGTTCTGCTTATCTTCATTTCCATATTATCCCCCTTTTTTTAGCAATACTTTTTAATCCATTGCTTTTTTTGTACTGATGTCATTTTGGTTTGCATGATTCTGGTTTTACATGTATTTTCATGTGCCAAATACTCGCTTCTCAACATTTTTTTTTTAAACTAAAACATAAACACCAAATTCATCTTTCACATCTTTAAACATGTATATTAAAACTTGTAACTTTTTTTTGCAAAGGTCTACCAGTATCTCTGTACAAACTAACTGGATATATGTTGCCGACTTTTTTAGAATAGAAGTGTAAAACTTATTGTTTATATTGTACATGTATATCGTACGTTTAATTAATTTAACACTCGAAATCTTTGCTGTATAGTTCTGTAAAGTGATTATCGAAACAAAAATGGGATTTCGTCCTCTTCGCCTTGTTTTATTTCACCTGGATGTAATTAAGAGGGGGAAATACATAACTTCTTTGAAAATATACATTGTATTTAAGATAAAATTTACAGCATGGAAAAAAATTATTTTATGAAAATGTAATATAGGCTATTTTTATGATGTAAGAAAAAATCAGCATATTTTGTGATCCCTAACCTACAAATTTGAGGGCATTGGACTTTTCTTGTTTTGAAAAACTCCATTGCAGGTATTTGCATATAATTTTCGGTTCTGATGTCCAGTAGCATATGTGCAGAAACTTAAAAGATTGAATCAAGCTGTTTTGCGTTTACGGCCTGAACATGACCTTTCTGTAATTTTCTTTAAATATTACCATTATTTTAACACTTCCCATCTCTAAATTATAAGGTACATGTATTGAAAACATTTTTTTATTATCTGTAATGTTGCTTCAGTGTCGATGAACCATTTTGACTGGTGTTAACAGTAATTATCGTTTTGAAACCATCGAGAGAAAATTAAATTCCAAATTTAACCAATTTCATATTAAATGCCAATGAAATTAATGAACCATCACCCTTATTGACTGGTGCTGTAATTTAGAGTGAGATTTGAAAGCTGGATATGATGTTTCTAGAATGTTAAATTGTCAAATTAGAAAATCAGTATTTGTACAGATGAATCTAATTTTTGAGTTAAAGATAATATACAACATTTGCTTTTGCTGTAATTTTCAAAAATGGATGGATTTGGGGGTTAGTATTTTATAGCAAATATTGTTACACTGA